GGCCAGGAGTTTGAGATAGCCAACATGGTGAAACCCTGCCTCTACTAAAAATACAAAAAATTAGCTGGGCATCGTAGCAGGCACCTGTAATCCCAGGTACTTGGGAGGTTGAGGCAGGAGGATTGATTGAACCCAGGAGGCAGAGATCGCAGTGAGCTGAGATCGTGCCATTGCATTCCAGTCTGGGCAACAAGAGCGAAACTCCATCTCAGTCAATCAATCAATCAATCAATAAGTCTTTTTTAAAAAGTTTAACCTGGCCGGGTGCGGTGGCTCACGCCTGTAATCCCAGCACTTTGGGAGACCGAGGCAAGCGGATCATGAGGTCAGGAGTTTGAGACCAGCCTGGCCAACATGGTAAAACCCCATCTCTACTAATAATACAAAATTTAGCTGGGCTTGGTGGCACATGCCTATAGTCCCAGGTACTCAGGAGGCTGAGACAGGAGAATTGCTTGTACCCGGGAGGCAGAGGTTGCAGGGAGCTGAGATTGTGCCACTGCACTCCAGCCTGGGTGACAGAGGGAAACTCCGTCTCAAAAAAAAAAAAAAAAAAAAAGGAAAAAACTTTAATGTGTTTTTAGGGTCAAAATGTCTTAACATCTGGGATTTGCTTTAAAATTCAGAAACTCAAAAAAAAAAAAAAAAAAAAGACCAGGTGCAGTGGCTTATGCCTCTAATTTCAGGACTTTGGGAGGCCGAGGCGGGCGGATCACCTGAGGTCAGGAGTTTGAGACCAGTCTGGCCAACATGGCGAAATCCTGTCTCTACTGAAAATAAAAAATTATCCGGGTGTGGTGGCGGGCACCTGTAACCCAAGCTACTTTGGAGGCTGAGGCAGGAGAATTGCTTGAACCTAGGAGGTAGAGGCTACAGTGAGCCAGCATTGTGCCACTGCACTCCAGCCTAGACGACAGAGTAAGAGACTCTGTCTCAAAGAAAAAAAAAAAAAGATGAACAATGCTAATATCTGGTTAGCCCAGGTGGCAGGCCCGGGGCTCTGGGCTCCGGGTGTTTGCATTGTTCCAGGCAAGCCTGCCTGCTTTGGGACAGCACCTCCACCGCTGGCTGGGAGCTTTGCCTGGCTCTCCACTTGCATCCAGAAGGCGAGCATGGGGAACCAGAAGCCAAGTGTTTGGGGCAGTGGGAGGGGTTGTGGCCTCCTGGGAACCCTCCCAGTCCCCAGTGACCCTCAGCACCAGGCTGGCCAGGCCCATGGGCGGGGAGGAAAATGCACAGCCCGGGCTCCTGGCAGCCGCACACAGTGTGACCACAGCTGAGCAGCTCTGCAGGAGTGGTGGCCCCATGGTCACAGGGACGGGATCACAAACCAGGATCCTTTGAACGGGCTGGGATCTGACCACTTCCCTGGCCCTCACCCCCAGCACCCCCTCCAGCTGCACATGCACATACATGTAGTTGCACACACACATGCACACCCTCCTACACCACCCAGACAGTCCCCACAGCAGGCAGCCAGGATGGAGGGAGCACCTTTCCGCCTGTGTCTCACTGTGGGTCTGGGCTTGGGCCGACTTGGTACAGCCTCTGGCCAGGGTCGGGAGGCAGAGGCACCGCCCCGCCTGAGCTCTCGGAGCTGGGCAGTGAGTGCCCCTTCTTGTTCTCCTGCCCCTCAGTGGGTGGCTGGTCCTGCTGGGTGCCTGGGTCCAGCACAGCTGCCACAGGTTAGGCCACCAGCCTAGGCAGGAAGAACAGGGTGAAGATGGCAGAGCCCCTGGGAGAGCTTCCTGGGACCAGATCTTCAGCTTGTGGGCAGCAAGCACGCCACCTGGCTCTTGCCCTGCAGGCTGCCCAGCTTCATCACTGGTGGGGTCAATGGTGGGGCAGCCCCTCCTGGCGCCCAGCACCACAGTGCCCTCTGTCCCCAGGCCTGCCCAGCTCTTTGTAGGGTCCTGGAATGCCCCTTCACTGATCCCGGTGGGAGATGAACCCACCTCTAATGAAAGTCCTGTCAACCACATGCAGCCCACGGGCCTGGCTGTGCTGTGCCTCAGCTCCAGGAAGAGGATCACCAGGCAGCCTGGTGGGCAGGTTCGCCTGGCATGCCGGATTTCTCCACAGCTTGTGATAGAGGCACTTGCAGGGAGGCACACGTGTGAGTACAGGACAGAGGAGCTTTCACCAGGCAGAGGCTGTGTGTAACAGTCCCGTCCAGGTTGCTTTATTTTGAATCTAAAGTGGAGTTTTTGACTCCACTCTGGGCGTCCACCCAACAGGTGCCTGTGGACACCCACTTGCTCCCTACCATGCAACTTGCTAACCTTCAAGCGGATCAGTGGGACTACTCCCATCTGATGGTCTGCAGGATTGTGAGGGCAGCAAGGTTACAGGGCCTCAGGCCAACCCAGGGATGGGGGCACAGCTTGTACATTTGGGGCTTTTTCACAGAAAGACGAGGGTGCTGAAGGGCCCCTGAAGGTCCCAAAGGTGGCAGGGCCGGGCCAGGCAGTGAGCCCAAGCCTGGTGTCTACAGGCCGATGGGAACCACTGCACAGTGGCCGTGGCCAACAGGCTGCCCAGAGCATGTCATTTTTAGGGCCTTTCCTGGACCTTCCATTCCAGCTCTCTGTAGGTTTTCCAAGCCTCTTGTTCTGGCATTGACCAAATCGTTACCCAAGACGCAGGCCTTCACCTCCACCTCCAGTTCATTCAGCTGGTTCTGACAGCTTCAGGAACAATCCATGGAGCTGCTCCCAGCCTACTCTGCAAGGCCCCCCAGCCCCTGCTGGTCTCCCGTGCACAGTGCAGAGGCTCATTCAGGCCCAGTGCAGGAAGCAAGGGGTACAGATCTGAGAAGCAAGGGCTTATCTCCCAGGGGCAGGGCAGAGTGAGGGATGGGCCGATGAAGAGTACGCCTGCATGGGGCAGCAAGCAGCCACAGGGGTTTAAACTGTGTCCAGCTGCAGCAGGCCTGCCGGAGCGACCAAGCAACATTTGTGACACCTCAACTGAAGGCTGCACTTGGCAGTCACATCTTCCCAGACAGGCGATCGCCAGTCCTGAGAATACTGCAAAAGCTCACCACTGAGAAATGGAGGTTACCCTCGAACCCTCAGGCATCCACACAACTCCCCTCCCTGCTTGGCTCCACTACAAACCCTGAGCGGGCATTGAGGACACAGCCATCTCCACACAGGGTGAGAAGGAACAGCAGCCTTCCTGTGAGTAAATGCAGCAACCCAGCACACACATGGAAAGCCTGGCTCAGGTCACAGTCAAATCCCAGTTAAGGATGTGGCTCGCTGGTTGCAGATGGAAACTTCTAGCAACCCAGAAACCAACTGTGAGAGTTCATGATGAGGGATGTGATTCCACCACTCTTGGTAGACACCAACGCAACATATCAAGTGTTCGCAGCTCACCCACCCACCCATCCCAGCAGGGTTGGCTTCCCAGCCAGGCCCTTTCCGGCGGCTCCGCCAGCCTGCTCATCCAGCAACGCGGACTCCATAGGGTGAGCACAATGTCAACACTTGTTCTGCAGTTTGCTGCTGAGTCCTGCTTCCATCACTGCAGTACCCACTTCACTAAGGAGTGAACCTGGGAGAAGACGCCTGGCCTGGCTGTGGCCCAGCAGGGATCTAGGCCCAGACGGCTGGGCTCAGCCCTGTGGAGATCCCCCTACCCTGAGGAAATCCTGCACAAGAATCTGTGGGCAGAGCAGGCAGTGTTCTCCAAGGCGCGTTGTCACCCCTGAAAGGAAGATCGGTTCCCTGGGAGGAATCTGCTATCTTCATACTGTTCCACGTCTTCAAATAAATGTGCATTACTTTTTAACCTTAGAAACTGAACTTCCGAGGCGGAAGGGGCTCCGAAGCTGTGTGCAAGGTGCACTGTACGTGAGGGGCGCCCACCACGCGTCAGGAAACGCCCCCGTGAAACTGTCAACTAAAATGCCCTCTCCCCTCAGTTCGGTCAGAAGCAGACTACAGACAACAGTGCCAAAATTTTAGGTCACTGCGATTTGTATTTCTGTTTCTGAATAAATATTTTGTAAACAAAATTATTAAACACTTGGAAAATGTGTTCCCAATTAAAGTCAATTTGTAGCTACATACTTAAAAATACCACATACACGGCCAGGTGCGGTGGCTCACGCCTATATTCCCAGCACTTTGGGAGGCTGCGGCAGGTGGATCACCTAAGGTTGGGAGTTCGAGACCGGCCTCACCAACATGGCGAAACCCCAATCTCTACTAAAAATACAAAAATTAGCCAGGCGTGGTGGCACCTGCCTGTAATCCTAGCTACTTGGGAGGCTGAGGCAGGAAAATCGCTTGAACCTGGGAGGCAGAGGTTGCAGCGAGCCAAGATCATGCCATTGCACTCCAGCCTGGGCAACAAGAAACTCTGTCAAAAAACCAAAAATGCCTGGTGCGGTGGCTCACGCCTGTAATTGCAGCACTTTGGGAGGCTGAGACGGGCAAATCAAAAGGTCAGGAGTTTGAGACCATCCTGGTCAACATGATGAAACCCCGTCTCTACTAAAAATACAAAAAATTAGTTGGGTGTAGTGGTGGGTGCCTGTAATACCAGCTACTCGGGAGGCTGACGCAGGAGAATCACTTGAACCCAGGAAGCAGAGGGTGCAGTGAGCTGAGATCGCGCCACTGCACTCCAGCCTGGACAACAAAGCGAGACTCCATCTCAAAACAAAAAACGCCACACACACAGACTAAACCTGTAGAGAGATGCTAGGAAAACAGCTGATTACTCAGCCACTGTGCACCACGGCGGAAACACGTGGGCTTTGCTGTACAGTATCACAGGTCAACACGATGAGAGTCCAGGGAATGAGGCTCCAGCTACACTTCTAAGTCATAGCAGCTGTTCTCTCCTGTCTGTGTCTCTGTGGTCCCCAAAGTCACATTCTCTGAGCGGTTTATAATTTTGAAGGCTACCAAAACAGGCACTACAACTACTACTAATGCTGAACAAATGATGTTTTTAAAAGATAAAAATGCTATACAGAAACAAAATAGTGCTTTAGGTTTATTGCTATAAAACACATACCCTTTAAACTAGGGTCCATGAGGATTAACTTTCGACATCAGGGGACTGTCAGAGGTCGTGGACACCCCCAGCCCCAGCCAGGTGCTGAACGAGGTAAAAATAATTTGCTCTGCAACCCTGTGTGGGGGGGAATAAAAGTAACCCAGCGTCCATTTAATAATGCAGCCAAGTGAAATTCCTTTCCCCACCTTACAAAGCACCATTAGATAACACAGCGGAACCGATCCTGCAGAAAGGTCGCTGGAGGGTCAGGCCGTAACTAACGCCACATTCCCATTTTGTTTGCTGGATAATTTTTTAATAAAGTAAGGTTTACATCACTGATATTTAAGAATGGCTATATGCACAAAAGAAAACACACCTTTTTGGTTAAGGGGTAAGGAAGTTAGAGAAAGCATGAGAAACAGGGAGCATGTGGGGTGAGGCGGGGCAGGAGCGGAAGGCCGCAGGCACCCCCAGCTCACTCCCTGCCTGCGGCAGCACCCATGGCCCTACAGATCAAGGTGTCATGAATGACAACAAGGATTCAGATCTCTTTCATTCTAGACTTCAACCTAGCCTTAACCTTTTGTTTCAGCACCAATCTAACAGAGCAGTGCAGGCATTTCTCATCCAGCAGCAATGCTGTTTCCTCACCCAGGGCGGGTGCCTGGGCTGACCCTGACGGGAGCCTCCAGAAACACTGCCTTAAGAAAGCACCACCGAGGGGCTCTGAGGTCCCTGAAGACCAACTGGTGCCCGTGATCTCCAGACAAACAAATATTTGACCTTTGTCTTCAATGACATTTACATATAAATAGACATAAATAAAATCCTCCATAATTTACACTTAAGTCTAGGAAGATGTGGCTCCCACAGATTTTCTAACGACAAAAAAAGTGTAGCTGTGTACGGTTCTTGATTTTCACCCAGCTCTCACTGTAGCACAGAACATAATGAAGTATCATCACACGCACATTTAAAGTAAAACATGATACATTCACACTGTTGACTCAGACTGTAGTGATGCTCACTGCAAAAAAAAAAAAAAAAAAAAGCCCTTATTGAAACCTTAAAAAAACGAAACACACCAACTGCAATTGTTTAGGCTATAAAAGTTCTAATGTAGCAGCAAAGGATGTTTATAGAAAAAATATACTTTTAAGAAAATAGCTGAAAAAATCTAAAGAGATAAGGTATAAAAAGTTTAAAAAATATATCTTAAGACAAAATACTGCCCAAAACATATAAAACTGAATTGTAAAAATTCACCTATCTAAATGTAAAGGAGGTTGATGCAGCTGTGGCCTGCCATCCTCTACAGTGGGGGACACAAAGAGACACAAGGGTCCCAGGGCTGTGGGGACATCAGAACTGGCCCAGAGACACAGGCCTTCCAGGATAACAGCCTCTGCCTGGCCCTCCACAGGGGGGAAGTAAGTGGGATGGGCCTGGGGCTGCAGACCCCACTGGTAATGGGCTGTTCTGGGATTTCTCAGAATCAGCAGACAGGGCAGCAAGGCTGGGCCGCTGGCGGCAGGCGCACCCTCCGTGGGAGCCAGTGCTCACGTGTCCACGCGTCAGAGGCGGCTGTGAGCGCTCAGGGCTCCTGCTCAGGTTTCCACCAGGATCTCCACTACGTGGTCCAGCTCGCCCAGGTCAGACTTGCAGCTGGAGCTAGGGCCCGGGGTGGCTGGAGCCAAGCCCTCGAGCCCTTCACAGGGGCCTGGCCTGGTGCCCCCCATCATGCCTGTCAGTACTGTGTCCAGGTCGTAGTAGGGACTGTCCACATCTGAGAACAGCTCTTCCATGCAGCTGGGGTTTTTAGTCTCCAGCGTTTCAAATATCTGATCAAGTGACTTGTGAAAGCTTCCTCTGTTTTCTCGAGGGCCATCCATCTCCCAGACGCTGCTCTGCGGGTGCCTTGGTGCCTGCGCTGAGGTCACTGGGCAAAGGTCAGAAACTGGGCCCTGTGTGTGGCCATCTCCCAACCCAGGGGCAGGACGTGCCCCCTCCTGCTCCCACGCTGCACGGCACAGGATCTCCGTGGAGACCAAGCGGTCGAGCGGCGCCCGCCCTGCAGCCTGGGGTGCCACTGCGCGCCACGTCCCATCCTGCGTCATCTCCTCTTGGATCTGCCGGACCGTGTTGGCAATGAGGACTGAGCGGCACAGATTGGGCTCCACAAGCATGTGGCAAAGCTGCAGCTTCACCAGGGACATGTCCAGGAGCGACTGCCGCTGTAGGCTGTATGAGGACATGGTCTTCAAGCCGGCCAGGGCTCCCTCCACGTCTTCCTCGTGGCCAACACATTTCCTCTTCAGTCCCCGTGCAAACATTGTGTCCTGCAGAAACCAAGGAAGATACCACTTAGCACACAGCACTCTCTAGCAGACAACGTCCCTTGGATTCCGTCTGACTGCCCTGACTGTACACAAGGAGCAGCGACTCTGTAACAGGCAGGGAAGTCAGAGCTGAGATGTGGAGCCCAGTGGGAGACCCCCTCAGATCAGCTGCCATCCTGCCTAATCCAGGCACAGTCACGTTGTGAGAAACAACAAACCTCTAAACTGTACCACAGCAGTGTTCTCCAGCAAAAAAGGTAAATGAACTAAAAGTAGGAGAAATATATAAGAGAAATATAAGTGTTTGAGAGCTTGGCTGAAAATCTGTATCAAAAAATCTAATTGTAGTGCATACGAAAGAAGAGACCCTGGGGTAACATGAGATGAATGTGAACCATGCCAGCCTGCAGAGGGCGCAGGGCTGGGGACAGGGCCAGGCGCACACACCTACCATTCCAACTTCCCTCAGGATCCTGCCTGGGACAAAGTCACTTCTGTGTTCAGAGGGTTAGTGCCTTCCCCCTCCATACTTTCACTAAAAGCCTCTGTATGTCGCGGACAGCCATGCTGGAGACACAGCCATGCCGGAAAGCTGTGCCACCAGGAACGTGCAGGGGAAGGACTGCAGGGCTGTATGCTCTTCCCATGCAGCGAGTGGGCTGTGTTTCGTGCACAATTCTCCAAGGGACACAGGGTCCCATGTGGCCCTGGCAGCCCCTTGTTCCCACACCCACCAGTGCTGCCTGCCTTAGGGATCACACCCGTTCCTTGGCTCCCCCCACCCGCCCCCACCAGTTCATTTCTCCCGAAGTGCAGAGGCTCTGCCTGGCCGCTTTCCACTTCACATCTCTCAGGGTCAATGCCCTCCACTGGAGAGCTCTTGACGAGTTGGCACAACCATGGCTTCAGGGGCCACCTCCTCCCTCTCATCCCAACTCCTTTCTCTTCAAAGGAACCAAAACATGGCAAGGTGTGTGTTGGGGGGCGGGGGGTTCCCCACCAGTGTGTTGTGGCAGCCCACAGCTGGCCAAGGCAGCATTTCTCAGCGTGTGTCTCAGCAATGGCGCTGCTGGTTGAAGATGCAGATTCCTGGACTTTACCCCAGACCTGGGCAACTCCGGGCTGGTACCTGAGGGTCAGCCTTGCTGAGCAGGCTCCACTCAGACGCACAGCACAGATGCACTAGATGGACACTGGCCATGTCTACTCTTAGAAATACAAGTCTGTGCAAACTTTTTTTTTTTAACTGATTCTAAATTGGGATATCTCTGGGGCATTAAAGGCAGAGCAGAGAAGAGGGTGGGCTCTGGCTTTTGACAGGTGCCATTCTGAGCCAGTGCCGCCTGTGGGGAGCTGGGAGGATGACAGCTGGCTCAGGGCCACACTGGCCGGCAGAGTCTGACAGGACAAGCATCTCACACATGATTAAGTTTATCTCTTCTCATGCTTGTGATGTAGTGAAATATTATTTCAAATCAAGTTATGCATAAATGGGGTTACAATCTTTTGAATATGCACACTTTGGAACTTCTTTTTCTCTTAGTCAATCGATGGCTCCCTGTGACCAGGGTATACCCAGGTTGCTTTTGGAAAGCTGGGGTATGGGAGGCGTATGCTGTCTCTGCTCGGGGTCTGGAGACCAAAGATGGGAGGTTTTGCAGTGCGGGAGAACTGGCTGCCAACCATACTCCTTCCCAGGAGCCCCTCTGGAGGCTCCCACCTGCTGGTCCTACCTTGAATAAACAGAAGAAAGGTTCCCCCTGTTCTCTGAATTTCCTTTCAGTGTCATAGATCTCAATTGCCTGTGCATTTAACACACCTAAATTTTATAAAACTAAGTGACGTCTTGGGCATTTATCCGAGAAATAAACCAATGTTCATGCAAAAACATGTTCCAGAATGTCCATAGCAGCTTTATTTGTAATAACTCCAAACCAGAAACAAGGAAAACGTCCCTTTCACCTGGGCATGGTGACACACACTCTGCTCCATTTATACCACCAAATCCTACTCTGCAATAGAAAGGAATGAACTGTTGATACACACAACAGATCCTTCCACAAGGGAATTATGCTGAGGGAGAAAAGCCAACCTCAGAAGGGTGCCTGCTGTGCGATCCCATTTATGCCACATTGCAGTGCTGACCCAGAGCTGGGGGGTGGCATGGCTAGAAAAGGACCTGTGCAGGGAGATCTCGGGGGTGAGGGCCCTTCTGCTCCTGGGCTGTGGGGGTGGTTCCACTCTGACTGCACAGCATGGGACACACGCACATGGGCCTGCAGCAGCCATGTGATCACATGGACCTGGGGCCTGGCTGTGCATCCTATGAGGATGCCAACCCTGGGGAGCAGAGGAAGGGCACACAGGACCTCCTAAACACTGCTCTGCGACCTCCCCTGGTTCTACAATGATTTCAAAATTAAAACTAAAATAAAACTTACATAACCCTAGCTTATTTCCCCTACAGCATGCAAGTGTCACCACAGGCATGACCCTCCGGCTGTGCACCACCTCTCACACCTGCCTACACCAGCTTCTCAACTAATTCTAAATGAAGGACACTTTACCACCAAAATACATTTAAACATTTCAACTACTTCTGGTAAATATTCAAGTTCTTTGTGTCAGCCACAAATTTAACTTTTCAGAGGTTTTCATCCCAATCCATTGTTTAAATCACTGGCTTAAAATTGCTAAGTATATTGAGAATTAACATAAGGCTATGTCAAACTACAAAAAACACCCTGTGTTGAGGAAAAGATTAAGTGCCACGGGTTCCTCTGGGAAGTCACTATACCTTTTGGGTTTTTAGTTTCTCTTTCAACCCTATCTCAATCCCAAGCCTGCATAACAATGGATTAATTTAAGACCCAAACCAAATCCTCTTGAACAGCATGCATTCAGCCCAAGTTTACAGACAGAAGAACCCCTGGCTGCCTCCCCTGACTCTGGAAACCCAGCAGCACAACCCCCATAATGTAGGGTCTACAGGAGGTCAGCATGGCTGACCAGGACGACGAGGGCAACTCACAGAAGGAACGAGAATACCAATGGGACAGACCAAGAAGACCCACAACCACACTAGCAACCAGCTCAAGAAGCTGGCCCAAGCTCCTAGTATCCTCTGGGTCCCACTTTCCTTTCCTCTGAGTCCTTAGAAATGCCAGGTCATGAACCTCCCATTGGGGATCTTAAGAGGATGAATTAAGTGCTTGGCCTGGTGCTGTCAGCAGTCCTAAGGGCAGCACTAGGAATCCGTGACCGTTGGAAATCACCCTAACATCTGCTCTGAGCGAGGGAATACACCAACAATGGCGGAACCACGCACAGAAGCAGAACTATCAGCCATAATCCGTGGCAAGCGGTCCAAAAGCAGCCCTTTACCTTCAGTAACCAGCCAGGAAGCCAGGTTGCCCTCGTCACTCTTGCAGGAAGCCTGGCTGCTTTCTCTAGGAAGCTGAACAGTCATTTCCACAGCAAGCAGCCCAAAATGGCCAGGACATGATTAGCTGACCACCTCTCCAGTTTCTGTCCCTGCTTCCAATTTAGGACCAACCAGAGAAAGCCAAACGTGTTCTAAGCCATCTTATAGGAGCCTCACTTCTTTCTGTTGTTGTTGTGTCAGCCAGGCTGGAGTGCAGTGGCATGGTCTCAGCTCACTGCAACCTCCACCTCCCAGGTTCAAGGGATTCTCCTCCCTCAGCCTCCCGAATAGCTGGGATTACAAGCGTGTACCACCAGGCCTGGCTAATTTTTGTATTTTCGGTAGAGACAGGGTTTTTACCATGTTGGCCGGGCTGGTCTCAAACTCCTGACCTTGGGTGATCCACTCACCTTGGCCTCCCAAAGTGCTGGGATTATAGGTGTGAGCCACCGTGCCAGACCAGGAACCCCACTACTAACCAGCCACCCCAGTCCCCCAAGTCAGCAGCCTCCATCAGCCATCCCTGAGCTTCCCTGGTTTCCACTGTAAAGCTCTCCTGTTCCCTCACCTGCCTATGAGTTTCTGCCAATCACAAGGGAGAAGGGCCGCACCCTTGCTAGGGTAAGCTCTGGATAAACAGCCTCTGCCTGTTCTCACCTGGTTGCTTATTTCCACAGCTCACTGTAGACAATCTGGAAGAGTATCAAAAACCGCAAAACAAATTTTCTCTCAGGATCCTATCCACTCAGAAAAAAAGTCACCACCTGGGTTCTTCCTTTCCTGGGTTCCTCCTTTCCAGTCGTTTCTCCCAGCACTTTCCTCTCTGCATAAGGGAGGGAAGTTTCACACTACTGACAATTTTCCCAATCACAAATGATACCAGTTTCTAACTTTAGGTGCTTTGGTATTTCTAGCATTTGGCTTCCTCAGCCTCGACTCTACTTACTAGGGTGAGGTGCAGGTACATTTTTAAGAGGCTTGACAAACATTATCAAACTGCATCCTAAGAAGGTGGAACAATCCATCAACCTTCCCCTGCACTAATTTCTGCACACTTGCTGGTAAAGTTTCCTCTTGCTTTGCCAAGTCTCTGAGCCCCACAGCTAAGCATTCCTTCCCTCCTCCACTAAGCTCCACCTCTGTGTTCCTATCCTGTTCCACAGCTGCTCTTCTGCCAGGACCAGACACCCCGGCCTTCCTGTGTAGGTCCTTTTCTGGCCATGCCACCCTTCAGCTCTGGGTCAGAACAACAATGTGGCATAAATGGGATCCCACAGCAAGCATCCTTCTGCGGTTGGCTTTTCTCCCTCAACATAATTCTCTTGAGATCCTTGCAAACTGTATCGTGTGTCAACAGTTCACAACAGAGTATGATTTGGAGGCACAGACGGAGCACAGCGTCACCGCACCCCAGTTGAAGGCAACTTTTTCCTTGTTTCCAGTTTGGAGTTATTATACATAAAGCTACTAAGGACACTCTAGAGCATGTTTTTGCATGAATACTGGTTTTTCATTTCTCTTGGAAAAATGCCCAAGAAATAACCGTTTTATAAAATTTAGGAGTGTTAAATGCACAGGCAATGAGATCTATCACACTGAAAGGAAATTCAGAAAACGGGGAACATTTTTTCTGTCTATTCAAGGGCAGGACCAGCAGGTGTGAGCCTCCAGAGAGGCTCCTGGGGAGGGGTGGCGGTCCTTGGCCTAGTTTCATCTCTCTCAGTTGTAAGCATTCTTTTTTTTTTTTTTTTTAAAGACGGAGTCTTACTCTGTCGCCTGGGCTGGAGTGCAGTGGTGCCATCTCAGCTCACTGCAACCTCCACCTCCCGGGTTCAAGCAATTCTCCTGCCTCAACTTCCAAAGTAGCTGGGATTATAACGTGTGCACCAGCACGCCCAGCTAATTTTGTATTTTAATAGAGACGGGGTTTCGCCATGTTGGCCAGGCTGGTCTCGAACTCCTGACCTCAAGTGATTCGCCCACCTCAGCCTCCCAAAGTGCTGGGATTACAGGCATGAGCCATCACACCCAGTCACAAGCACTCTTTTAAGACTTAAACAGGCCGGGCACAGTGGCTCACGCCTGTAATCTCAGCACTTTGGGAGGCTAAGGTGGGCAGATCACAAGGTCAGTTGATTGAGACCATCCTGGTCAACACGATGAAACCCTGTCTCTACTAAAAATACAAAAAATTAGCTGGGTGGGGTGGCACATGCCTGTAGTCCCAGCTACTCAGGAGGCTGAGGCAGGAGAATTGCTTGAACCCGGAAGGCGGAGGTTGCAGTGAGCAGAGATCGCGCCACTGCACTCCAGCCTGGGCGACAGAGTGAGACTCCATCTCAAAAAAAAAAACACTTAAAATAAGTTGAATGCATACGAGCTGGCATATTCTGACAAAGGAATGCAACTCAGCAACAAACCTCAATTATTTATGCAACATGGATAAATTTCAAAACATTATGCTGAATAAAAGCAGCAAGACACACACAAAAATATGTACTAGGATTCTATTGATCTGAACCTTCAGGACAGGCAAAGTTAATGTAAGTTGTGAAAACACAGAAGGGTAGCCACCATCCAGGTGGGAAATGCTACAGGGGGCCAGAGGGAATCCTCCAGAATGATGGAGATTCTCTCGCCCCTTGTAGGACTCGCGTAACCCAGGGACCTGCGTAGATGTGCCTGGGTTATACAAGTCCTACAAGGGACGAGAGAGAATCTCCATCATCCTCCACTGCATCTCATCCCATGCACAGATCCCATTCTGGTACCATGAGAATATTCCTGTTCAGTCACTTCAAATCATTGCTGTCCAATGTTCCAAATCTCCAGCAGCTAATTCTGTGTTGTACCCAATATTTTAAAATGCTAACAAGTTTATTACTATTAATACAAAAAGGAGTAAAGCTCACAGGTGTTTTTTACAGTCGTGTGACCCCCAAGAGCTGTCACCCAGAACGTGCATTCAGGGGTGAAGAGGATAAGGTTGGGCCCGGAGAAGCTGGCCTGTGAGGATCACCCTGAATTGGGCCATATCTGTGTTTGGGACAAAGTCAGCAAGAGCATCGTCTTGACCAGCCCTGAGGGATGCCTGGGCTGGGCCCAGCTCCCTGAGGGCCTCCTGTGTGACTCTGGCCTGAGGCTGCTTAACTCCTTCTAATACGGAAGGAAAGGCCCTGTATCATAGGGGTGGGGCTGTGGAGCCTAGCTCTTTTTTAAGATGGAGTCTCATTCTGTCCCCCACGCTGGAGTGCAGTGATGCAATCTGAGTTCACTGCAACCTCCATCTCCCAGGTTCAAGTGATTCTCCTGCCTCAGCCTCCTGAGTAGCTGGGACTACAGGTACGTGCCACCATACCTGGCTAATTTTTGTATTTTTTGTAGAGACGGGGTTTCACCATGTTCGCCAGGCTGATCTCCAACTCCTGATCTCAGGCAATCCGACCACCTCAGCCTCCCAAAGTGTTGGATTACAGGTGTGAGGCACCATGCCTGACCCCCTGCTCAGTTTTGAATCTCCTTCTACACATCTAGTTAAATGCCTAAAATCCCACCAACTCCACAGGGTGTCAACGGGACAGCCAAGGCGTTCACCCCTCAGTCAACTCCCAGCACCGCCCTTAGGCTTCTAAACCAAGCATCAACCACAAAGAGAAAAACGAGGAGGGTCAGACAGACTGAGGATATGTCCGACATGGCAGGTGGAACAGCCTACAGGCCACTAGGGACAGAGTAAACTAAGCCCACGAAAGCAGAGGCCAGCAGAGAGCAGCCCCGCAGTGCTACTCAGGCAAGCAGAGTACAGCTGGGGGACCGGCCCTTCACTACAGCAGCAGCGGCCACACCTTCGTGGCTGAGCAATCCCATGAGGCTGGCTGAAAATGCAGATTCCCAGATTCTGACCAATAGGGCTGGGGCTGCTGGGGACAGACTCAACTCTGACCTAACCTGTCACCTTCACAGCTGGACTTGCAGCCACTTCGAAGTTTCGGGTTAAGCAAATCATCAACAATTTCCATTTCTCACACACCAGATAAGCTTTGAAATACTCTATCGGAAAAACAGGAAGAAGAGGAGCAAGGTCTTCAGTCTTGAGATCTACTGAGTGGGAGCTCCACCTTCCACTACAGTCTGCTGGAGGCTGTTCCTGAACAATTACTGATATGTTAATTTCAGGGTTTTGTTTTGTTTTGTTTTTGAGAGGAGTCTTGCTTTGTCGTCCAGGCTGGAGAACCTCCGCCTTCCGGGTTCAAGAGATTCTTCTGCCTCAGCCTCCCGTGTAGCTAGGATTACGATTACAGGCACGCGCCATCACACCCAGCTAATTTTTGTATTTTTAGTAGAGACGGGGTTTCACCATGTTGGCCAGCTGGTCTCGAACTGGGGACCTCAGGTGATCCACCCGCCTAGGCCTCCTCCCAAAGTGCTAGGAAGTGTGAGCTACTGCGCCCAGCTAATTTCAGGTACTTTTGTTACTTGGAACGATACACCTTCCTTTCCCTGAAAACATGTTCCAATGGCAAGTTGAGAGAAACTTCCTGGCCCCTTTTCCAAGATAAAGCCTACGACTCTTCCTAGAAAAAGGGTGTAACTCACTTTGTGTTGATTTCCACCCTAATTATAAAACATGGTGACACTGGAAAATAGAGTGGTTGTACGTAGAAAGTTTATAAAACCTAAGTTTTGGGAACAGGCGATGTTTTTCTGTGGCTCACTTTGAGAGAACGGTTATCTGGGTCCTGCCGTCTCGTGCGTCCCACACGAAGGCCACAGGAGAGGCGAAGCAGCGGAGACCCTCTATTCCAGCAAGCCGTAGGACTTTGTCACGACGATCCTGTTTACGGGACGAGAAGCGTTTGAAAACGCGCAGGGAAGCTTGCCTCTGACTTCTGCAAGTGTCTCGGGGACTTTTCCTAATCCCACCTCGGAACGCCGGAGGAGCCCAGGAAAGACGGCGCTGGCCGACCCGCCCGGGGTCTGGGCCTCCTCCCACATCCTCGGCCCTCTCCGCGGCCGGGATCCAATTGAGGGGGCTGCAGCGCGCCCTGGCCTGGTTAGTGGGGTCGGCCCGGGGCAGGGTGGGGGCGGCCGTCGCGGGGCGCGTCCGGCGTTCCCTCCGCGGCAACCAGAGCCGAGGTACAGGAAACGCCGCTGCGTACCCCAGCCGGACCCTCGCGAAGTCGCTCCCGTGTGGGGCCGCCCGGAGGCCTCGGCGAAGCCCCAGCTCCACAATCCGCATGGAACGCAGACGGCGGCCCGGGCCCCTCTGGTCCCCGGGCCCCCTCAGCAGCGGCCACCCCGCGGTGTAACCAGCGCCCAGGAGGGCGGCGAGGGCGCCCGCGGCAGCCCCAGCGGGAACCCTGAGCGTCGCCTCAGCCCCGGACCCAAACCAGTGCCTGGAGCCACAGACTCCGCACACCACCCCCGGGCTCCTCCGCGCCCCGCAGCACAAACGCGCGCGCCGCCGTAGACGCCCTCGCGGTCAGCCGGACCCGCTCACCTGACCCGCGAGGCCGCCCGATGGCTCCTCTGCTCAGCCGCCGCCACCGCCGCCGCCACCAGCTTCCCGCCGCTGAGGGAGGAGCGCCCGCCGGCGCGGGGCGGGGCGTGCGACCGCCACTCAGCGTCCACAAAGGGTGGACGCTGCGCCCTCCGCGCGCCGTGCCCACTGATTGGCCATTCACGGACCGGGGGCGGGGCCTCTTGTTCAAACCCGCGCGGGCGGGGCATCTGCGGCGCGTGTTCCCGCGCTGCGGCGACGGCCGTTGGGGCTCGCGCGCGCCCTCGGTCGCCCCGCCCCCGCCTCCGCGCCGGGCTCCGCGATACCCACGCCCCGCCGGCTCCCAGGTCTCCCCGCGCCCAATCCGGCCCCGCCCAGCCCCGCCGGCTCGCAGGTCTCCGCACGTCTGGTCCTCAACTGAATGCGCCTGCGCTGGGGGCCCACGTGGTGCCCTCGGGCGGGCGTGGCGGGGCAGTCTGGTAGGGGCTGATCCTCTCTCGCTTCTGCCTGGGTTAACTTCCCTGCCGAGGGATCCGTGCCGGGGTGGGGAGGAGCCGGGAACGGCAGTTCCCGGGCGGCCTGGGCTCCGAGGTCTATCCCAGCCTCTCCAGAAACTGCGGTTATCTCCAGAGGCTTCCCAGGTTTACACGTAAGAAATGTAACGTGAAAGTAGAAAGCAGGGAAACACGTGTTTTAAATCTCTTAGTGGAAAAGGTTTTAAATAGGATACAAGAGCTTGCAATCATTGACTTAAGTAATATTCTTTGAACGCCTGCAGCAGGCCCGGCAGGCGTGGCTGCAGCTGAGAACCCTGTGCTGGTGGTGGGGGAATCCTCAGCTGAATCCGCAGATGCGGATGCGCCAAGGTCAGTGGTTAATGCTGAAATGCTGTCGGAAAAAGCTGGGAGTGACGTTGGGGCGCTGCTCACATAGGTCTCTAGGATAAGGGGCGTCTTAAAGCACCAAAAGGAAGAGCGGAAGAGAATTCCAGGAGAGGAATGGCTAGGACAAAGCCCGAGGCAGGGGCAGGAAGAAGTCTCAGTGCAGTGAAAAAGAACCCTGTGATCTCGTGGGAAAGTTTAAATGTGAGAGGTGGAGTGATTTTGGGGCTGTTCTCTGAGTGGGATGGAGACTACTGGCACGGTCAGAGAAGGAACTGGGATCTGAATTGTGCTTGAAAAGAATCACTGTTCTTATTAAAAAAAAAAAACAAAACGGGTTTCTTTCGCCCATGCTGGAGGACAGTGGCGTGATGATGGCTCACTGTATCCTCGAACTCTTGTGCTCAAGTGATCCTCACGCCTCAGCTTCCCACGTAGCTGGGACTACAGAAGTGTGCCACCACACCAAGCTAACTTTTTTTTTTTTTTTTTGGTAATTTTGTAGAGACAGAGTATTGCCTTGTTACACAGGCTGGGCTCCAACTCCTGGCTGCAACTACCTTGGCCTCCCGAAGTTCTGGGATTACAGGCATGAGTCACTCCGACCACCAAGAATCACTGTTGGTAGTAGATTTGGAGGAGGCGGCAGGAAGGCTGGAAGTAGAAAATCCTATTAGGTTATTATCCAGGTAAAAGAAAATGGGACTTGATAAAGGTGACTACCTGAGACTTTAAAGTTTATGCATGTCAAAGTGAAAAGACTAATGGGGAAAAAAGGTTTTCCTGGCTGTATCCCACATAAAGGTTAAATTCCTTAATATACAGATATTCTGCAAATGAAATCTAGATCACCAAAGAAAAGTGGTTTGGACACGGTGGCACCCACCTGTAATCCCAGCTACTCGAGGCTGGGATGAGAGAATCCCTTGAACCCAGGAGTTGGAGGCTGCAGTGACCTATGATTGCACCACTGCACTCCAGCCTGGGCAGACAAGAGCAGTGGAAATTAAAGCTGTGCTGGAGTGCCATTTGCCACAGGTCAAATTGGCAAAGATCTAAAATAATGTCTGGAGTAAGATAATATCTTCCGGAGCATATTAGTCTATTCTCAGGCTGCTAATAAAGACATACCCGAGGCTGGGTAATTTATAAAAGAAAAAGAGGTTTAATGGACTCACAATCATGGCCGAAGACCTAGGAAAAGCAAAGGGACGTCTCACATGGCGGCAGGCAAGAAAGTGTGTGCAGGGATCTCCCCTTTATGAAACCATCAGATCTCAGGAAACGTATTCACTATCCAGAGAACATAACAGGAAAGATCTGCCCCATGATTCAGTTACCTCCCGCCGGGTCCCTCCCACGACATGGGAGTTACAGGAGCTACAATTCAAGATGAGATTTGGTGTGATATTTCGACATATATATACAAAGTATAATGATCCATCAAGGTAGATAGCATATCCATCACCTCAAACATCATTTCTTTGTGTTGGGAACATTCAAAATCCTCTCCTCTACCTATTAGAAAATATGCAGTAAGTTACCATTAACTGTAGTCATAAAATATTAACAGGCTTGCTAGGACATAGGACCAGAAAAAGAAAACATAGAAGTCGTCTATGGTTACACCAGGATTGGAGTCATATTTTTCAGTAACACTAATGTATTCAGGAAAATTGATGACAAGGAGAACTAGAATCCATTAAAAAAAAGACTCAAAGGCTGGGTGCGGTGGCTTACGCCTGTAATCCCAGCACTTTAAGAGGCTGAGGTGGGCAGATCACAAGGTCAGGAGATCGAGACCACGGTGCAACCCCGTCTCTACTAAAAGTACAAAAAAAAATTAGCCGGCCGCGGCCGACTATAGTCCCAGCTACTCAGGAGGCTGAGGCAGGAGAATGGCGTGAACCCGGGAGGCGGAGTTTGCAGTGAGCTGAGATGGCGCCACTGCACTCCAACCTGGGCGACAGAGCAAGACTCCGTCTCAAAAAAAAAAAAAAAAAAAAAGGCTCAAATTGAAGAAGCAGCATCAGTCTTACACAGAGTCTTCCAGGTGATAAAGGGGAACTGTTCTTACCAATTTGTTCTACAGGGCTAACAAATTTGATACTAAAACTCGAAAGGGACGTGATGAGAGAAAACACACAGGCTGTTCTCTCTCATGAACATAGTTTAAAATTGCAAACCACATATTAGCAAATCAGATCCAGTGATAATGTGAAAAAGGTAGCTCATCACAACCAAGTTGGGTGTACTCCAGGAATTGGAGTACAGTTGATTTCACATTGCAAGGTCAACATGATTCATAACAGAATTAAGGAGAAAAAAAGTATGAAAATCTCAGTGTAGAAACATCTAGTAAAATTCAATACCCCTTCATGGTAAAATCTTTAGCAAACTAAATATACAAGTGCAAAGTTAGGAACAGCCCCAAGACCACCCTCAAGTTTGAAATTAACTAGAAGGACTCACAGAATTCCCTAGAAGCTATTGTACTCATGGTTATGGTTTATTACCATGAAAAGGCTCATTAAAATTAACCAAGGGAAGAGGTGCATGAGGCAGGGGCCAGGAGAGGCCATGCGGAGACTCCAGTTGTTCTCTTGGAGTCACAGATAGTGGTATTGCTGGTGAAAATGTGTCACTGAGCTTGAGTCCAGAGTTCATTTACTTCCCAAATGAATATACACATTTACTCTATTGCCAGTCAAAATCCCAGGATATTTTTGAAACCTTACAAAATACTGTTAAAAATCTAGAGAAATGGCCGGGCACAGTGGCTCATGCCTGTAATCCCAGTACTTTGGGAGGCTGAGGTGGGCGGATTACCTGAGGTCAGGAGTTTGAGACCAGCCTGGCCAACATGGTGAAACCCTGTCTCTACTAAAAATACAAAAATTAGCCAGGCATGGTAGCACGTGCCTGTAATCCCAGCTACTTGGGAGGCTGAGGCACGAGAATTGCTTGAACACAGGAGGCGGAGGTTGTAGTGAGCTGAGATTGATTGCGCCACTGCACTCCAGCCTGGGCAACACAGCGAGACTCTGTCTCAAAAAATAGATAAATAAACATAAAAAATAAAAATCTAGAGAAATACATGTGAAAGTCTAGCCTATAGATACAGTAAGAAAGAAAAGTATTAAGGAGGAGACCCACCTCTATATCAGTTACCTTTTGCTGTATGATACACTTTCCCAAACTTAGTAGATTCAAAAGGCAGCCTTTTGTTTGCTGGCATTTCTGCGGTTGGCATTTCAACTGGGGTCAGCATGCTCTGTCTCATGAGGCATCAGCTGAGCTCACTCAAGCGTTTGGGTCTTGGCAGGGATGACTGACTCATCTCTGCTCTGTCATCCTCCGGAAGGCCAGCCCAGGCAGGAGGCGGTGCCAATACAGGGGTTCTTTTTACACTTTCCTCTGCTCAACTCACATGTGTCAATGTCCAGGTGGCCAAAACACATCTGGCCAAGCCTAGGGCCAATGTGGACATGAGATGACAATTCCTTGGAGGACATTATTATTGTTACTATTATTTTGAGACAGAATCTTGCTGTGTCGTCCAGGCTGGGGTGCAACGGTGGGATGCTCTCGACTCACTGCAACCTCCACCTCCTGAGTTCAAGGATTCTCCTGCCTCAGCCTCCCCAGTAACTGGGATTACAGGCACGTGCCACCACACCTGGCTGATTTTTGTATTTTTAGTAGAGACAGGGTTTAGCCATGTTGGCCAGGCTGGTCTCTAACTCTTGACCTCAAGTGATCCGCCTGCCTTAGCCTCCCAAAGTGCGGGGTTACAGATGCGAGCCACTGCACCCAGCCTAGTATCATTATTATTTTGAGACAAGGTCTTGCTCTGTGGCCCAGGCTGAAGTGCAGTGGTGCAATCACCGCTCACTGCAGCCTTGACCTCCCCCAGCTGAAGTGATTCTCCTGCCTCAGCCTCCCAAGTAGCTTGGGCTACAGGCACACACCACCACACCACACCTAACCAAACGTTGCTGTAGTCTGCATCTTACCAGATACTTGAACATACTGTAAGTAAACTTAAATATATACTTAGTAATGACAGATATTGCTGTATACTGTAGTAAAATGAAACAAATATATACAGATGCTCCTCCACTTAGGATGAAATTATGCCTCAAAAACCCCATTGTAGTTTGAAAATATCAAAAATAAGTTGAGAATGCATTTAATACATCTAACCTACCAAACATGCCTTAGCCT